AAATTCTGTCATGTAATCTTCATAGTCGTTTCTGTCACCAAGGTCACATTTTCCAATTACTGATCCTTCTTGTTTCCAACTTTCACATTCCAACTGCCAGTAATTATCAATGTGTATTGATCAATTTCAGACTGCAGAAGGTAGTAAAAATCTTCAATTTCTTCATCTTTGGCCTTAGTGGTTGGTGCATAAATTTGAATAATAGTTGTATCTACTGGTCTTTTTTGTAGGTTTATGGATATTATCCTATCACTGACAGCATTGTACTTCAGGACAGATCTTGAAATGTTCTTTTTGACAGTAAATGGTGACCCCATTCCTCTTCAATTTGTCATTGCCTACTGCAGTAGGTTAATTACTTTTGTATGTGGCCTTTCTAGCCATGGTCTTACAATTCTCACCCAGGTGATTGTGTGATAGGGTAATTGTGGCCTACCCAGGGGATTGGCCAGTTTTGTCTTAAAAGAGCGCCAATTCCAGGGCAGAAAGGAGGAGCCTACCACCAAGGAAGGAGAGACCAGCACAAGAGACCCAGCGGCAGGGAGCTAGCAGCAGGAGATGACATGGTGGGCTTCCTGGCCCACGGAGAGAGAAAGCTGAGTCTCTTTCGGCAGACTGAGAGCCGGGGAGAGGTATGCCTGCAAGCACAGCTGGGAAGAGGCTATCCTAATGGAAAAACTGTATCTTGAGTGTTCCTGAGCCTGAATTGTAACTGTTACTTCCCTTATAATAAACCCCATAATTGTGAGTATGGTCTTTGAGTTCTGTGTGGCCATTACAATGAATTATCAAACCCAGTAGAGAGTGCTGTGGAAGGGACAGTTGGTGTTAGAATTGATAGAGATGGCAGAGAGAGGAGGGAGGCATGTCTGACCTCCACGTCATAGGAATCAGCCTTGGGCTGTGGTTCTTGTTTCTCCTTCCCCCTTGTGGGATTGGAGGAAGTCAGACACTGTCCTCAAGCCATTTTTACACCTGCATAGTAGACCATATGATTGCCAATTCGAAGCGGCCAATACCTGTCCATTTCTGCTCACTAATGCCTAGGATATAGATCTTTATGTTTTCCATTTCATTTTTGAAGACTTCCAGTTTTTCTAGTTTATACTCCACGTTCTGATTATTAACGGATGTTTGCAGCTGTTTCTTCTCATTTTGAGTGTGGCTATATCAGCAATTGAAGGTCCTGAAAGCTTGACTCCATTCACATCATTAAGATCAACTCTACATTGAGGAGCCAAGTCTTCTTCAGTCGTATTTTGAGTGCCTTCCAACCTGAGGTGCTCTTCTTCCAGCACTATATCAGACAATGTTCTGCTGCTATTCATAAGGTTTTCACTGGCCAATTTTTTACAAGTAGACTGTCAGGTCCTTCTTCAAAGTCTGTCTCAGTCTGGACTCCACTGAAACCTGTTCACTAGGGGTGATACAGCTGGTATTTGAAATACTGGTGGCATAGCTTCCAGCATCACAGCAACACAAAAGCCACCACAGTACAACGAACTGACAGATGAGTGGTGGTTAGTAGGCATAGAATTAACTTTAGTGGGAGGAAATCCTCAATTTTGGTAATCGGAAGTTATAATATGACATCAGAGTTTTGAATTTTTGTTTTTAACTTTCCGCATGCAATTTAAAAATACATATTTTATTGTTAGTACAAACGTAAGTGACAATCACTCTTAATATTTTGGAATATATATTGTTCCAAATTTTTGCTATGCATTAAAATCTATATTTGGTGTGCATATATGGACTTACGTACTAAGACTGATTGCAAACTGAATTATGCACTTAACCATGTATTTTAAACATTTAACATATCTTTAATATTTTTGCACAGCCCTGTTTTCAATAGATATACAGTATTCCATGGTATATTATACTGAATTACTAGTCAACTGCCTATTGTTGGATAATTAGGGTCTTTTTTATTATTATTTATTTTTAAAGTAACATTGCAATGAACATATTGATTGTTAAACACTGTAAAAACTGTGATTGCTTCTTAGGATAAATGCCTAGAAGTTGGAAATCTAGGTCATAACATCTATGTATGCAAACACACACACGTGTGTGCACACACACACATAATACATGTGTATATATACACATATCCCTCACTGTTTTCCAGGAAGATACTAGGAATTTTCTGCCCCATAAACAGTATGTGAGATTTCACGTTTCTCATATGCTTTCCACAACAGGGTATGATAATTCATTTTTATTTTTATCACTTCAATCGAAGGAAATTGCTAACCCATTTATTTTAATTTTCATTTTTGAATTACTAATGAGACTGAACATTTTCACGTGCTTATTGGTCATTTCACTTCTGTGAATTAAATTCCCATCCTTAGTTTTTCTAATGGAATACTTATAATTTATTATTTTATGAAAAGAAATTTATAATTTTCATCTTTTTCATTTAAATCAGAAAAGGAATGACAGGAAAGTTTCAGGGTTTCAAATCTCAATATCTGTAAAAGAGGAAGGTTGGATTAAACTATGCTTATGGTTCATTCTAATCTACCACCGGAGATACAGATAAGGTATCTGAGGTGATTTTTTTTTTTTTTTATATCTTATTGTACTTCAGGTGAAGGCTTGCAGAACAAATAGTTTCTCATGAAACAGCAGTGCACATGTTGTTTTATGACATTGGT